GAAGACGATTTTAATAAATGTATGTCTACACTGGCCAGTCTACTACACCGGTTTGATTTTAAACCTTTACAGACACTTCGTCTAAGGACGTTGGTGTCCGGACAAAACGCTTTGGCTCGTCTTCCCACCGGCTACGGGAAAGGTTTAGTTTACCAGTGAGTTTGTGTCCGAGTGGCTGTGGACCCACCTGGGGAGCCGTACTCATGGCGGGGCAGCCGGCAGATCTTGGGCATCACCTCCATCAGGGTCTTCACATACTGCAGGATGGTGCCCTGGAGCTACACAGGAGACAGGAAGATCAAAGTGGCCATCTCCAAGATTTCCATTTGGTTTGTATTGTCATGTTATCATCACTTGATCCAGTCTGTTTGTTATTGTGTCTAACCGAGTCTCGCCAAGGAGAGTTCAGAGCGAGACTTCTCCTTGGCGAGACTTGGTTGAACACAATAACAAACAGAGACAAAATAACAATCCTGAAGTTATCCTTTAATCATGGTCTGTTGCATAAAACCTCCAAAAAAAGTATATATTGTGATGGATAGTTTTGTTGTCTCTGACTCTTGAAATATTCTTCAAATGGTTCCCAAATTTTTTTGCCCCTCACCCTATTTTTAGGTGTAAACATTTTTATGTTCCCAACTTCTTACATTTGTAAACATCTGCTTTTCCCCACACATCGTGAATCCTTTAGTCCATCGTCAGTCTGCAATCTCCCGCTTGTGACCCCATGTGCCCATCAGGACCCCCCCACCGCCCCCGGCTGAGAGGAGAGTGTGAGTGATGGGTGAAGACGGTCCACTCACCAGGCTCTTGACCACCTTGAGGAGTTCCTCCATCACCACGGCGATGCCCTGGTAGCCTAGCAACCGGCACATGGCCTTGATGTGGGGCGGGCCCAGGAAGTTCCGGTAGAAGCCAAAGATGCTGCTGTAGGCCAGGTTCAGAGTCTGGGGAGAGACGGTCACGTCAGTCATAAACAATATCTAAACGATAAATCTAAACATGGACTTCATAATCAGTTTAATAAGTAATACAAAATAAGGCTCATGAAAATATACTCATAACATAAATATACAAATCTCAACCTTTACAAAATTAAAGAAAGAACAAAACCATTCCGACACTGAAGCAAGCGTGAACATTGAAGAAATGTTGATATTAAATTATATTGATGTATATTATAGACAACAGGTTACAAAAGTAACCTCCATGATTCAGAAGGATGACTTTTGAAATTGTGGTCACTGCTAACGCATTTCTTTTTCACAAGATATGCTCCTCATTGCACACGAAGACCAGCCTCCTCCCATGTCCTCCCTCCCTCCCTCCCTCCCTAGGGCTGGTAATCCAGTGCTCTCCCCCAGCAGAAGGCCAGTGGCCCGGGGGGAGAGGCAGACAGACAGACCCTCCAGTCCCCAGTCTGTTCTCCTGCAGGCACGCCGCTTAGACATGGAGCCCAGGAGCTCTCACACGGCATCACAGAAGAGAGGGACCCACTGAAGAGACCGCTCTACCGACACCCCACCGGTCCTCTACCGACACCCCACCACCGGTCCTCTACCGACACCCCACCACCGGTCCTCTACTGACACCCCACCGGTCCTCTACCGACACCCCACCGGTCCTCTACCGACACCCCACCGGTCCTCTACCGACACCCCACCACCGGTCCTCTACCGACACCCCACCGGTCCTCTACCGACACCCCACCGGTCCTCTACCGACACCCCACCGGTCCTCTACCGACACCCCACCGGTCCTCTACCGACACACCACCGGTCCTCTACCGACACCCCACCACCGGTCCTCTACCGACACCCCCACCACCGGTCCTCTACCGACACCCCACCACCGGTCCTCTACCGACACCCCACCGGTCCTCTACCGACACCCCACCGGTCCTCTACCGACACCCCACCGGTCCTCTACCGACACGCCACCGGTCCTCTACCGACACCCCACCGGTCCTCTACCGACACCCCACCGGTCCTCTACTGACACCCCACCGACACCCCACCGGTCCTCTACTGACACCCCACCGACACCCCACCGGTCCTCTACTGACACCACTACTGGCGGCAGCAGCCCGACTCACTGAACTACGGTCCTGAAACAGTTCTTTTCTCCAGGTCAGTGTGTTCTTTTCCTTTCGTTTTGATGTGCAGATGCTTGTTGCTATGGTTACCTCTCAAGATCTCTCCCTCCCCTCCCCCCTCTGTCTTTTATCTGGTTTTATGTTGACCGCGGTTGGGATGCACAAGTGAGATGTGAAATGGATGAAGAAATATCACAATATTGAGAGAAGAATGTATGGCTTTATCAAGCTTGGCACAATTTAAAAAGTAATAGCAGTAATAGTAGAAGTAAAAGGTAATGACTATAAAGGTCAGCTCTAATGTGTTGCTGAATAATCCTGGCCAAACGTTCACTATTATGATGTTTGTTACGACGCTATAGTGCCGCTAGAGCAACGAAGAAGATTTACAAAAAGTCCTTCATACCAAATGCAATAACTTCACACCGAAACATGCTGTGTTACTTATTATTGTATTGTATTTATTGTGATGTACTGTGTTTTAACCAACCTGTGAAGCCGAAGACAAACTTCCACATTATTATTATAGCTAGGAAACTAAATGTCCAGTTGTTTTTTTAGGAACTGGGTTGTGCAGCACTTGGAATATTTTTACTCCAATTTTGATTGTATTTAATTGTTCTCAGCCTCGTTTGTAAGCTGCTTTGGATAAAAGCATAGTCTGCTAAATGACTAATTGACATCATGTCTCCAGCCAGCAAAGGGATAATCGCCAGCTGCTACGTAGCACTGAACATGTAGCATCAATACAATTAGAACACAATACATTGAGTTAATTTATACATTTAGTTATTAACACAACCATTTTATCGATTTTTTCGATTAATCATTTAATCTAGAAAATGTAATAATAATAATAATAATAATAATAATAATAATAATAATAGCAAATGGCATCACAAAGTGAGGTCTTAAAGTTGCTTGCCACAAGCAGCCAAGAAAAACTAAAGTATTAATTTTATAATGATCCATGAACATTTGAATTTCTGATATTTGTACTTGATAAATTACCTCAATGATTCACCAATTATACAAATTTGATTCAAATCATTTTCTATCGATCAACTAATTGAGTAATCGACTAATCATGGCAGCCCTAACCACTACCACACTATGTGGTAGTGGTTAGGGGCTAGGGCCTTTCCTAGTGGCGTTTAGATCCGTGCACATGGTTTAGTGGCTAGTGGTTTAATGGCGAGGACACAGACGCACCCAATCCCCCAGCGTTACATCACATCATTTACTGAACATCTGCCCCCTCCTCACCCACCCACTCCTCCCTCCCTCCCTCCCTCACCCTATGTCCCCCGGTGGGCTTTATCACCACTAATCCTCAACATGCAACCAGTCCCCCCCACGTTACTACGTCTCCATCTCACAGATTTATGTTGGAACGTTAGCGAAGGGCTTTAGGGAACATCTTTATCCCTGATTTTAGGATTCATATGGGAGGGATTTTTTGGGGGATTTAGTATTCTTGTTTATAGCAACAACCGTCTCTCGTATACCTATCGCTTTGTTGAAAACTACAGACTGTTGGGTTTTGGTTTTTATGTTTCCGTCATGAAGAAACATTGACGCTTTGAGCAACGCTGACTAGACCAGTAATATCCTTGATGCTGGAACTGATGAAACTCGAAAGTTAGAACTAATACCCATTTCTTCTTCTTCTTTATTGCTTTTTTTTTTTTAAGATTCTTTGGTCTCGGGGAAAACAACCGCAGTTGAAGTAGAGAGAAACACTCTCTCGACCCGGGACTCGACTGGCCGACGCGTCGCCATGGCAATCAGGGTCTACAACGTATCGGCCAGGTCGGTGCGCGTGCGCTGGCCGGTGGACGGCGGCTGCCGGGACACCTTCTACAGCGTGATGTACGACCCCCACTGGAGCAGCCTGCTGGTGGGCTACAAGCGCAAGAGCTTCCAGTATGAGGAGCGCATCCCCGCCAGCCGCACCGGCGCACACGTGACCGACCTCCTGCCCAACACCGCCTACTTCCTGTGCGTGACGTGCCAGGCGGCCAACCCGGTGAAGGACCAGTGCCAGGTGTTCTCCACGTTGGGCGGTGACTCCCAGGGGAGTGGAGGAGGAGGGGGGGGAGGAGGAGGCTGGGAGCTGGCCATGGGTGTCTGGATGGCCACCAGTCTCCTGCTGCTCCTCGTCTCCGGGGTGCTGCTGTGGGGCTGTCTGCACAACGTCTGCCCCCGGCCCCAGACACGTCCCTACCAACGGACGACCGGACACCCCTGGGTTCATCTACGGCACGGGGGGCAGAGCCAGCGGTGGTTGCAGTAATGATGATGATGATGTCACCACCAAGCGCGGCACGGTGATCCTGAACCCCCTGTTCGGGTCCCGGGGGGTGCGGGGGTCCCGGGGCGTCGTCATGGGAGACCGCGGGTCCCGCTCCTCCACCGCCGGCAGGAGACCAGATGCTTCACTAGGCTGTCCGGCTGCAAGCCCGTGTGACTTCACTGCAATGAGGTCATCACTGAATCCCTGAAGCCTCCTAATATGGACGCCTCCATCCAGTACGGTGTCATACGTTAAAGTAATAATCTCAAAGATTTTCATGTAAATAAATGTCTGTTAAGTCACTATCCATCGCCAAATGTTGAGCCTAAGCCTATGGCCCACTGATGAAAGCTTTTGGATTTGTTGATGAACATTACGCCAAAAGACTTTTTCAATAATACATGTGTTTCAGTTACTCAACAACCATGATCAATATTCGTGTGTTATAAAGTTATTTGAATTGTTTCAGACATTCAAGACAAGGTACCACTTCAACTGTGCTGTTTGGCAGAAAATCCCAATGTATTATAGATGGGTAATACAAATTAGATTCACCTTAGAATGATCCCAATGCAAACATATCTAACCAAAGAACCATAAAGGGGGGGGGGGGTGCAGGCTAGTCTAGCGGGGAGGATGATCAACTCCCAGCTGAAAGGATCCTGGGTTCGATCCCCAGTGACCCCAGTCTACCTGTCGGCATACTAGAGCAAGATGCCCCCTAACCCCTACCTGCTCCTTAATGACCTGCATTTGAATTCACTGGAAGTCACTTTTTATAAAAGCGTAATAACTAAATAGCGTAGCCAATGGTTCAAGTTTGTTTGTTTGTTTGTTTGTTTGTTGCTGACCTTTGACCCGTACAGGTACTGGGGCTGGGCGTTGGGGGGCTTGTCTCTCTGGAACTCCTGGGAGAAGGGCAGGATGGTGCGGACGAACCTGGGGAGACGCAGGGTCAGTGGGGAGCTCTTATAGGAGCAAGCTTCTAGTACAGTGTGTTTCAACCTGTGGTACGCGACGGGTACTGCAGGTGGCTATGCGGGATTTTGTTCATGAAATACACATTTACAGTAATAGAAAAGATAGATATTTAAAAAATATATATTATAAATATTGTTCAGTAAATATAGCATTATGGCTTGTTATTATTTAAAAAATAGTGTTGCTTAGTGCATTCCATGATATGTTTCCATTGTAAAGTTTTCCATTGATGTTTTGTGTTCATTTGTGTTTGCTAAATAAACACACTGGGAGCATCAGCAGCGTTGCTGACTTTTTCTTTCCACTGTTTCCCACTGGCCATGGCCTTCTTAGAGTAATAATTGTGTATTAAGTGGGCACTGGCACTCTTTGCTCAGCCACTGCATGTGTATTTATCTATTTTAGGGAGCAAGCTTCTAGAAGCAGGCGTCCGGCACCACAGCCTACCGGTTGGTGGATCCGTTGTAGCAGTAGTTGGGCAGGAAGTCGTAGTTGAGCTCCCAGAAGACGTGCAGCTGTGATGCGTCCGTAGGGCGCCGACACGTTGTGGTTGGCCTCCCTGAACATGGCGTCCATGCAGTCCAGCGTCAGGTACTTACTCAGCAGCTTGTGGGTCATGCGGTTGATGTCCAGCAGACCCTCCAGCTCCTGTAGCAGGAAGTGGGTCAGCAAAATGTATTTAGTATAGCACCTTAGTATAGCAGGAAACACAACCCTGCGGAGGGAAAGACTTTGTTGCCTGAGCTCAGTGAAATTGATGAGGTTCATTTTTTGTTTTGCTGTCCTGTCTATGAGGACGTAAGGGATGGTCTGATACACAAGATCAGATATCAATACATTTGAGATATATTTATATATTTCGGTAAGGTTGAAGGCATCTGAAAGACTCATTTGTTCAGAGTTCACCTGGACTCTGCATAGCCTCCCTCCTCTACTTCTTTAAATAAATTACAAAATTAAAAAAAGCTTAAAAAAATTTAAACCGGTTCGTCGGCTTCAAATCCAGTTGTAGTTGTTTTTTTTAGACTAACTGCCATTGCTCATCAACAAACAATACTTGCTCACGGTCTGTGGCACTAGTGGTTCAAACGTAATATAATATAATAATATTGTATAAAATATAATAATGTCATGTAATTGTAAGATGTGCTCACCATGATGGAGGTGAGGTCCTCGCTCTCAAAGCGGTTGATGGCGAGCTCCAGGGACTTGTAGAGCGCCGCCGACACCCGCTGGGTAATGAGGCGGTTCAGGTCGATGGAGCGACCCAGCAGCTGGGGACAGAGCAGAGGTCAGAGGTCGGGGAGAGAAATATCCATTTATTACAAACTGTGCATCTGCGATATAAATACAATACAAATACAAAACGGATACAAAATAAAGCAACGGAGGGAGGGGGAGAGAGAGAGAGACACAGACAGACAGTGAGTGAGAGACAGAGAGAGTGAGTGAGTGAGAGAGAGAGACAGTGAGTGAGAGACAGTCAGAGAGAGACAGTGAGTGAGACAGTAAGCCATCATTGTGAGTACCTGGACGTGGCGTTGCTTCAGCAGAGTCTCGTAGCGGTTGGACGCCGGCCAGGGGATGTTGGCTCCCTGGTTCTTACAGTCAGTCCTCAGCCTCTTGTCCAGGAGCAGACTACACACACACACACACACACACACACAATCTTAGTATGACATGATATTCTACTCGATAGTGAGTTAAAATGTTAAACATTAAAACAATCTGTTTCTAGGATCCCTGACTGAGTTTCCCAACATGGACACAGACAGCCAGTTGAAAGACTACTCACTCAGACTGTCACCGTCTGACTCAACTTAACACAGTTTTGCCGAGGGATCGAAACCAGCAACCCACCACCCAACTGGTTAAAACGAAATACTGGTTTTCTTGAAATAAAAAAACACAAACAAACAAAAGTACCAATATTTCAAATTACCTTCCAGCTAGAATTTTGTAGTAGGCGAAGATCTGGTCGGCCAGTTTGTAAACAAACTGATCGAAACACAGGTTGACCTGGAGCGAGAGGAGACGTTTCACATTTCAGTCCACTTTTGGTGAGAATCCTTCTGTATGAAGTCAATGATATTGCTCCATTCATTCAGTCTAACAAGCGCGGTCCCATGAGAGCGTGAATAAGCAGGAAGAGAAGGACATGTTTTTGAAAGCTCTGCCGTTGTTAAAGGTCACTGAGTAGACATGGCCAAGTTGACTGTTTTACGATTTTATTCAGCTACGTGCAGCGAGCTGATTCGAGGAATAAAACGCGACACAGCGAAGATGTCAACATTTGAAAGTGTTTGGATGATTAAAAGGAAAACCAAGCGGCCACTCCAGGCCGCTTAATCGTTTTATCGTCTTCTTTTTTATGTCTAATTTAAAGGGCCCTTCACCCTGGATGCTCACCTCTGCCTCGATTTCATCGTAGAGGAACTGCTTCTTGAACTTGGTGAGGGCGTAGTGGGCGCTGTCGTTGTACAGGTCCAATGGGTACAGCACGTATCTGGAGAGACGGAGATACAGATCAGAACTCATTTTCATCCTGGCTGCCACCATTATATATCCTGGAAGGAGGGGTCCTCTTCTGGGTTCCTTCCCTCTGGGTTTGGGGAGATTTGTAAGCCTTTTGATTGTTTTCCAAGCTAAACTTTGTAAAAGTAAACTAAGGCCTATGGACAGGCCCTGGTGCTACGAGGGGTCTGGGGGCTGAGCTCCCTCAGTTGTATTTTTTGCCCCCTCTGTTTAGACTTTATGTATCTATAGAAAATATAAATGAGACAGTGTCGGTGTGTGTGAAGCTCACTCCATCATGGAGGACTCCTTGGTGTCCAGGATGTGGTCTGTGAGGATCCAGGGCATGGACATCTCGATGGGGAACTGGATCCTGCGGCCCATGGTCAGCTCCAGGAAGAACTCCCGGAACCACAGCTGGGACAGGTCGCAGCACTGCTGCAGGGTCTCTGGACAGGTCAGAACCACAGCGTCAGACATCAGAACCACAGCCTCACCGAGTTACTAGGGCTTCAACAATTAGTCGATGAATCGAACGACACATTTTTATAATCAATTAATCGTTCAGGTCAAATACCAAACATTTGCTGCTTGATGCTTCAGAAGTTCAAATGTTTGATTCATGGATCATTATAACATGAATACTAGTTTTTCTTGGCTGCTTCTCAGATAAAGAAAGAAAATGTAAGATATTACATTGGACTTTTTGTAACTTGTGATGGCATTGCCTATTATTTATGACATTTTCTAGACTAAATAATTATGAAAAAACTATCATTTTTATTTGATTATTTGACTATGAAAATATTCGTGATTTGCAGCCCTACTATACTACTACAACTTTACTATTTCATCATTCAGCTTTGAGCCAAAGCGACTTACAGTGACTTATTTGAGATACTAACATAAGGTAAGGGGGGTCAGGTTAGGGCATCTTGCTCAAGGATCCCTACATGTAGACTTTTTTTTTTTTTGAACGAAAACGAAATCTCTAATTGTATGACATTTATTCTAAAAGTAAATAAGAGATGTAGAGATTTAGTGAGCGTGTCAGGATTGAATGTGTTAGTTTCTCACCACTGAAGTTGAGCAGGTGGGTGTAGAAGAAGGACTCTCGGTGGAACCTCTCGATGTCCAGGATGGTGGGGCCTTCCAGGCCGCTACGAAGAGTCTTCTTCGAGCCGCTCTTATCCGCAATCAGAGACTCCAGCATCGTCCTCACCATGTACAGCTACATACACACAAATGCACACACAGTACAGGGACACATTACAACATACAGCTATACACACAGAGTATATAAAGTACAGGGACAGGGTCTAAGGCACCCTAACATTCTTTCTTTCTTTCTTTCTCATATTAGTATTCAGTATTCATATTAGTATTCAGTGACTCATATACTGAAGCTAAACTCAGATTGAGGTCAACTGTGTTCTAATAAACAAGACCTGATGATATTGGAGATGTTTTAAGAGGTGACTGGGGTCACAGAGAAATGGAAACCATGTTTTTAATCAGCACTGTACCTGGATCATGGCGGACTTCCTGGAACGAGAGACTAAAGCTAGGGGGATTTGTGTGACATAACCAACGTAAGATGCCAATGAGGCGTTGCTCAACGACGTCCAATTTAAAACATAGGAGATTGTTATTCAGGAAACAAGGGACTTTGCATTAAAGGGTAACCTAGCAGTGCAATCTAACTTAGGAGACAGCGCCCTCTGTGGTCAAACGCGAGCTACTACAATGTAATGTGTTTGTGATGACTCAAGTAGATCACTGAGGGTGGACCATATTTTATGCCCAAATAAGGGACTAGGTTCCATCACTAGGTTAAACTATATCACTGAAACCACATAAAATGCTGAAGACAAAGTATATATTTTTTTGTAAATAAGACCAGAAATCAGGAAAAAAAAAAGAATTGCTAGCATTTCATAGCCTAGCATCTGATGGGCCTTTGTTTGCAAAGCACATCCACCCTCTTTATTGATAGAAAACAAATAAAAAGCCAAATAAATAAAATCTGAAATGTATAACATAAAAATATATTCAGATTCAGATATGTTCAAAATCCAATATAATAGTTTCATTGGGTTTTGTCGATGAAACATTTTGTCCATGTTGTCCTTTTTTATAAAAAAATAAAAAATAAAAAAAGACAAACAGATGAAATGGCAGCCTGTTCCTCA